GTGTTGCCAGCAAATTCTGACAAAATCCACCTAAACCCCTTCAGGGGACGATTTTTGGTAGACCAACAAGACTTTTTCATTTAAAATGTCGAAAAAAATTTTTCCCACTTTATGGGACTTTTCTCCAAATTTAACCCAAAATCGGGGAAAATTTTTAGCCCTGGCAAATCTTCTTACTGGGACTTACCCATGTCAGTAGGTGGCGTTTAGCTACGGGGTTGCCATGTGCAGCAAAAACGCGATTGAAAATATCCCAAAATTTTTCCAAAAACTAAATCTCCCATAGCTTGGCCGCCATCTTGGATTTCTGAAATTTCATAATTTTCCCTAGAGGCCGGGTCTTTCAGCCTCCCAATGCCCTACAATAGGGATCGGTAGCATCCCCGCAAGTACCCTAGGAATTTCAGTTTTTGGAGAGACACCCCAATTTCTATTTTGGTCATACCATGTATGGGTGTTGCCAGCAAATTCCAACAAAACCCACCTAAAACCCTTTAGGGGATGTTTCTCGATAGGCCTTGATGCTTCTTTTGTCAAAAATGTCGAAAAAATTTTTTCCCACTTTTTGGACCATTTCTCCCAAATTACCCCAAATTCGGGAATTATTTTTAGCGCTGGCAATACTTTATACCGAGACCCATCATCGCCCCATAGAAGCCGACTCGCTGCGGGGTTGCCCTGTACCTAAAAAATGACTTTGAAAATAATCCGGATTTTTAGGACCAATTTCACACGCCCCCAACTCGGCGGCCATCTTGGATTTTCGAAATTTCATAATTTTCCCTAGAAGTCGAGTCCTTCGAGTTTCCTATGCTCCACAACCGGTGTCGCCAGTACCCCCGCAACTACCCTGGGAATTTCGGTTTTTGAAACCCTAGAAAATTTTCAACCAGTTTTTGGCAATTTTTTCGCGGCCATCTTGGATTTTAATTTTTTGTTTTTACGCCACATTCTGGGTCCCGCCGAGACGTGCCAAATCACTCTTTGAACGGAATCGATCCGAGCGAAACTGTAAAAGTTAGCCGCCATCTTTGTCCGCCATCTTGGATTTTCCCAAATTTCGGAATTTTCTCGTGGTCACCCTAGCCAAAGGAACATTTCCCCCATACATCGTCACGACCCCCCGGCACTCCTTCTGGGAGAACAACTATGTCAATCAGTGAGTGAGTCACCGTAATGCAGCTTTATATATTATTATAGATTATAAATATATAAAGAATAATAATAATAATAAAGTATGTATTGTTTGTGCGTGTGTTCGCTGCACGGGACGGCCGTGTGTCTCGTATCCGGTGACATCATCTAATACGTAATACAGCGCGGTATGAGTATATAGGTTATGTATAATATCCTTTAGATACACTATTTGTACGCCGGCTTGAGACTAAAGTGCGGATTATGTGGTGTCTCACGTCCACTGTCTCGCCATCTACCACCACGGGATCCATTTCTGATTTCACTGAATTACTATGCCCACATATATAATCTATACATATTAATAAAATTGGGGTGTCTGTTTGTAATATTGAAATAACCGTTTTTTACTATATGCATATGAATATAAAATTATTTAAATTATAAACACTATCAATAAAAATGAAATGTAATGTAATAATAAGAATAATAATTGTTATAATAATAATAATAATAATTGTAAAAACATTGTATAATAATCGTTAAATATTAACTAGAATATGATTGTTATAACGTATGTAATTTTTAGGTTTTAGTAATAAAAAATTGCTTGCCTACTGTAAAAAGTCATATTACAGCGCTGCCTGCTTATAAAATCACTGTGGCTCAATCGTTTACTTATCTTGTCTTAACATGCCCCTACTGCTGAGATTGTGCTGTGTTTGTGTGCGCTGATAACAGCAAATTTAATAAATAGATCCCTCTCAGTTGGTAATTATTTGATTAAGTTTATAATTTTTAAGAATCGTTACGATTAGTTTGTAATAATGGGGTTAATATGCTTATCACTACGACTGATTTAATCTTATTGTATATTTACATTTGACCCAAAAAATAGTGCTGGTCGGTAGTTTGTATTCACACGTTTCGACTTGTAAATGTAAACTTACAAGGATTATTTAAAAGAGCAACACACAAGTTTCTCGCTCGTTCTTCTTGTGATGAGACAGCTCTCCGAACGAGCGGTATGTAAAAAAAAATTATGATTATTCAAAAGTGCTTAAATTAAGTTTATTTAAATAAATGATTTTCTATTCTATTCTTAAAAACAAAAATCCCAAAAAAAATTTAGATTATAAAAAAATCTTGTCTGTAATGCAAAAAAACATATGTAAAAGTATAATATCTCCGCTCATTAGCCCTGGATGATTGTATGTTCTTTATATGATCAGAGTTCAGTAACTTGGTTAATTGTTTCCGCGGAGACACAATGTGAGGTTTCTGAAGTAAGCATATGTAGTGATGTATGTGATATAATTGCGTATAGGAACTGTTGATCCTAAAAGTTTCATACAGTAAAAATTCTTTATTCGCCGGGTATTTTCCATAAATATGCCTCGAATACAAAAACCGATTACGTATATATAATTTAAATCTAAATATATATAACTCAAAGGTCACTGACATAGTGATCTATCAACGCACAGCCCAAACCACTGGACGGATCGGGCTGAAATTTGGCATGCAGGTAGATGTTATGACGTAGGCATCCGCTAAGAAAGTATTTTGATTAATTCTATCCCGAAGGGGATAAAATAGGGGATGAAAGTTTGTATGAAACTTTGTCAATTTTAAACCGATCGGGCTGAGACTTTGCATGCATAAATCTACTATGACGTAGGCATCCCCTAAGAAAGGATTTTGATAAATTCCACCCCTAAGGATAAATTAACGCGAATGAAGCCGCGGGCAAAAGCTAGTAACGTATAAAAAAGTAAAAATTTTGTTATTCTATATTAACTTTACACGATGCATAATGACCATACGCATTATGTACCGTGTATTTACTTATTTATATTGTTATTTACTTAAATTATCAATTATTTATTATTTATATTTTAATATATAATATCATATATATATATCAGTGTCCATAAGAGCGCCCAATAATTACGTACAAGCAAGAAGACGAAACTTGTTTGTTGTTCCATGGAGAAGAACAGAGCTGACCAAACAGGCTCCTATTTCTCTGGCATTGAGTCTACTCAACGGTGTAGTTAGTCGCTTACCAGATCTACACATGTTTACTTGTAATGTGCTGGAGTTTTGTAGGATGGCAGCAGATTATTTATGTAGTATGGAAAATTAACATTAGGTTTTTTTTTCTCTTTTGTTTCCTTGTGTAATTAGTGTATATATATATATAATTAGAGTTTATATTTGTGTGTATTTGTATATTATCTTCCTAAGTGGGCATATTGGGAGACTGTAAAGCTCACTTAGTATGACGTAAATCAATAAATATATACATAAATTAATAGTGAATACCACGGACCTAATTAGTACGTTGCAACACGGGTTCACGAGAATAATCCCCGTGAACTGCAGAGTGAGGTGGGCGGCGCGGCGCACGGTGCGGTGCGGTGCACTCACCGAGCAATGTATCTCCAATACATTATTGATTCAGTTTAACAACTGCACATCAAACAAATAACTATATTATACATAACAATATATCACTATATTGCACTCTGAATTAGTTGTGATAAAACAATATATTCGCTCTACATTTGCCAAGCGTTTGCCACTGTTTTCCCTATGCATAGGAAATGCACAATTACAAAATTATCCATGCATCAAGTCAAAAAAACTATAAAATGCTGGCTGATGAAACCAAATTATGACGAAACAGAACAAATACTTCCAGCTTACGACTAACACACAGTTCTGCAAAATGAACACTCGCACACACATGTTCATACATACACACTGTTATACACACCAATACTCATACCTTTTCGATACATCCACAAATTTATTCCATATATTTTACATAGGGAATAATATAATATAGATAAACATGTAAAATGTACACAACAGTAAGTCACTCCAGTTTCTACAATACAGGCCTGCGAGTCTAGTGTGGAACTACAGTGAATTAAAAATGTAAATGTATCAAGAATAAATATTATTATTATTATCATTATCAGGGGCGTGTAGTGATTTTGTGGGCTCCCGGGCTAAATCTACTTAGGGGCATACCTAATTATATTACTCAACTAAAAAAATACACCGACCAAAAACAAGCGACCAGAAATTCTCCGTTCCTTTCAAAGAACGCGCACTTGCATGGGTTGATTGATCTCAGGGTTGCCAACCTTATGATAGGTTTTGAACATTCTAGATATTTTTTTATACTCCAAATATCGTTTCAGTGGGGACTGGGGGATCTTTGTATCCTCGGGGCCCTGGGCTGCAGCCCAAAAAGCTCTCAGGTAGATCGGTCCCTGATCATGATTTCTTTGTGTGTGTTTATTTTGCTATGGCACGAAGCACGCATTGTTATCGTGGATGTCCATGATTATCGAGTGACAGACGCCAGTACTTACACTTTTTCTCCGGACGGTTCCACACAACTGATCGTTAAAAATATATCTATAAAAAATATGGTGTATATGTCGTTAACATTAAAAACTTTTTTATGTTTATCTTTATACAGGCACCAGTGGAGGATGATAGGAGGTATACACACAGACGACTTTTTTGCAAATTTGTCCACGGTTATATAGTCAAATTTATTTTAATAACTAGCTGTACCGGCAAACGTTGTTTTGCCTTAAAATAAAAAAAAAATTAGGTGTTGACTACCCCTAACATTTATGGGGATGAAAAATAGATGTTGGCCGATTCTCAGACCTACTCAACAGGCTCACAAAATTCCATGAGAATCGGTCAAGCCGTTTCGGAGGAGTATGGGAACGAAAACTGTGACACGAGAATTTTATATATAAGATATATAGTTTAGTATGTGATGTATAGTTATTTACAAAATCAGTAACATGGTGTTTTGTTTTGTTTTGTTGCAGGGGACCAACCTTCAACCCAATAAAGACAGCGACGACTTATACAATAATTCCAACCGACATACCTTATATATAATTTAGTCCTCGAAACCGACTTGTAGTTATATACACCTTAGAATTAGTAACTTCTTACATTTTAATATATTCGTGGGCTGACGACCTCCTTTTGTATCGTAATATATCCCTTACGAGTGGTCGTGACTACCTGCCTACTGCCTACGGCGAGAAAGAGACAACGCATGGAATTGCTGGCAGTACACTGTGGTTCGATTCTCCGGTTGATCACCGCGGTTTATAGGTGAGTACATTTATTATAAGTCTCATGAATAAGCTCAGAGTTAATCACAGGGCAATGGAAAGGGCTATGCTCGGAGATTCTCTGCGTGGTCGAATCAGAAATGAGGAGATCCGCAGAAGAACCAGAGAGATCGATATAGCCCGATCGATATGGTCAAGATCGCTGGAAGGCTTTGTGAACGCTTCCTGCGAGCAGCGCAGGGCTGATCGTCGTGGAGATCTTTGGTGGAGGCCTTTGTTTAGGAGTGGACGTCTTCCGGGCTGAGATGATGATGATGACATCTATTATTAACTAGCGTTGCCCGCGATTTCGTTTACTTAATTTTTAATACAAAAATAATATACCTAAATAATTCTAAACAATTTATGCAGCAATATTTAGTCCCAAACAAAGCAGAGCTTGTACCATGAATCCTGACTACTACTTAGATATTTTTTGCTGGAAACTACATAGTATATAACAAACAGCCAGATCATGAAGGAAAGGGTATTGTAAGTAACGTGGACTGATGATCCCATTACTAGCAATGTACCATGTCAGGTTGACCGCCACGCGGCTCCCTCTGGACCATCGTGACAAATTCCCGGTGAATTTGTCACGAAGTGCGAACTGACCTGATCTCATGCTCATCTTATCATCCGCAACTGGTGCACCGTCAGTGTAAACCGTTAGCACAGGGGCACTTTCTTTGTCAAACATAAAAAAAACAGCCAGATCAGTACAAACATTATATACACAAGAAAACAAATGTTCGTATAAAGCGGGAATAGAACCCGTAACTATTAGAAACTTAAAAAGTGGACAAACGCTAAACCGTCTGTGGCTTTAAAATCATCTTGTATATTTTTATTTGTTTAATATTTGTGTGATGTGTAATCACGGAAACCTAATCCAAATTTAAACATCACACTTGCTGTACCTGGCGAGTCATACGAAATTCTCGCAAATTCCATCGGTCTTCAATAGAAACGGTCCAATAAACGTGTGATTGTAGCTTCCTGTCCGCCGCGCGCCGGCCGGCCACTCATAATATTTATATGACTGCTTTGAAGAGCGCCATTCCAAAGGAACACATGCTCCAAATGCGTCGCTTCTCTCAGATCCTATGAATGTTTACAATGCTCAATTATTTTGTTAACTACCAACAAAAACAACTCCACAGTCGAAATCTGTCCTGGAATACTTCACCGTCGTAGAGCTTTTGGGATTAGGTACACGATAGCAAACGTTACGTTTTCGTTAGCGGCCATCGAGATATGTTTATCTTAATTCACATAGATGTTATCATTTATTGTAAATGTTTCTGAGGATAAAGATCGTACAGCTGCTTTAATTTGATTACAACATTTCATACAAACAAACATACGTGCGCTAATTAAAAATATACATATACGAGTGTATATACAAATAACTTTTTACGAGCATCGATATATTCCTGCAACGACGGGGCGAAAGATTTACAGTTTGGTTTTATACTCATATGTACACTAGACGGATTATGAGATGAATGAGATGATAATGAGTATATGGATGGTATTATACATATAGTTTGAAAGAAATATAGATGAGTAGCAGATAGTAATAAATTACATACATTTTATAATAAACACATTATAAAATATCATATTTTTTACATTAGTACGTAATTATCCCATAATAGAATCAGTACAAGAATAAAACAAATACAATTTGAAAATGTAAACACATTTAAAGATTTAACTAGTTTGTTTACCAGTGACTCCAGATGTAGTACGGATATTAATGTTAGAATAACTATTGCAAAAAAATCATGTGATGATAAAATAAAACATCTTTTGAGAGCTAATATATCAAAGTCCTCTCGGAAACGACTTATCAAGACCTACATCTGGAGTACAGCCTTGTATGCCTGTGAGACGTGGACATTGACACAAAGGGAAAGAGACAAACTCGAAGCCTTTGAAATGTGGTGTTGGAGAAGAATGGAAAAAATTAGCTGGAAAGATAATAAAATAAGGAACGAAGAAATGTATATGCTTGAAAAGGCTAAAGAAAAGAAACAGATCATAGATATTATTGAGAATAGGCGTGGAAAATGTTGGAGCACTTGATACGACACGAATACGAACTAATTAATAATATTATCGAAGGAAAAATAGATGGAAAGAGAGGAAGGGGAAGACCAAGACACAGCTATATCAAGAAAGTTAAAGAAAAAGTTGGAGTCGTGTCGTATCAACAGCTAAAAAGACTGATACGAGATTGTGGAAGGTGGCGGGAGCTCCACTAACAAGAGCAAAGCTCTTAAAGTATGTGAATGAAGTAATTATTATGGCTCTCTGTAGTCGAGTGTACAGTAGCGGCATGAGACCACGGTCCAAGTAACATCAATAATAACGACCCGAGTATCAAACCCTATCTATTTAGTACCAGTGAACAGGGGCGGATCGTGAATTTGTGGGGCTCTGGGCTAAATCTACTTAGGGGCCTACCTAATTATATTACTCAACTAAAAGAATACACCGACCTAAAACAAGCGACCAGAAATTCTCCGTTCCTTTGGATAGACGCGCACTTGAATGGGTTGATTGATCTCAGGGTTGCCAACCTTATGATAGGTTTTTTAACATTCTAGATATTTTTTTATTTTCTAAATATCGTTTCAGTGGGGACTGGGGCCCCTTTGTATCCTCTGGGCTCTGGGCTGCAGCCCAAAAAGTACTTAGGTAGATCCGCCCCTGCCAGTGTATATACCCATCAGATCTCACTATACATCTGTGGGCTATCAATCAGCGTCGCTCACTCAATCCACAGTGAAGGCGGCGGCCGCTTGTAAAGCTACTTCCATTACACTGCACTTCCTTTTTTGCATAATTTTGGTCGAAAATAGTCCGAGTTGGTACATTAGCTCCTAATGATTGCTTTTATTCATATCGCTCTTTCGCTTTTAAAGATTTGGTTTTGTATTTAATATTTCCACTCTAATGAATCTGATGTCTTATAAATTTTGGCTGCTTGATGGGACTGGTCTGCTTTAATCACTATGACTGATTTACTCTTATTTACTTATTTAACCAATTAATTGTGCATTTAATCTCTAGACTAATAAATTATTGCTATTTGGTAGTTTGGATTCACATATTTTAATTTATAAATGTATAGTTACATCAATTATTTGAAACACCAATACGCAAGTTTTTACTCAGTCTTCTTGTGATGAGATATCTTCCCGAATGAGTGAAGAAGTGAATGAGTGAATGTTGAAAGTTAATGAGTGAATAATATAACTATTCAAGTGTTTAAAATTTAGTTCATATCAGTATAGAATTTTCTCTTCTATTCTTTTAATACTCGAGAAGTGCATTTTTGGCAAAACGAGGAGATGCTGAATTTGGTCGTATTGTTTAGAATTTAATTTCAATGATTATTTTTTCGATTCAAATTTAAAATTTTTAAAAGTTAAAATATATATTTATTCATGTTACAGACTCTTATGATGTATCAAATCTACCGTCAGTTGGAATGATTTCGAGATGTGTAGAACTGACGAACTCACTTCAATATATTCGATTTACTCTCGTATTGGTCGCAACATATTGTTACTATTGATGTCGAGGTTTTTTTGTTTGTGTTGACATGCCAGTACAATATGGTTTATTTCGAAACAGCACTACATGTGCATGTAGCAGGTACGGGGAGGTTTTAGAGATCTACCTCCCGTTGTCGTAAACTTCGCTAATTGTTACATCTAATTAAGACCTGTTTGACGTAGTGATCGTGACTTTGGACTGAGTTCCCGATTCGTGTTGGAATCACAAATTCGTTAGCGATTGTCAGATGAGGTTGTCTCCGGACGGTAAGAATTACTACATGCGATCCACAAACAAACACACTGCAGTAATATAATTGGCGGCTTCAGTGGTCTAGCGGTTTAGCGCACCGCTTTACTGCCGATGGTCGCGGGTTATATTCCTCGTACGCTGCATTTAGGTTACATTACAAATTTCCATGACTATGTTTGTTTGTATCGGTCTGGGTATTATCTATGTATTTCCAAAAAAATGTATTTATACCCATTTATTGTGCTTACCGTGGGACTAGATGGCGCTGTGTTAATTGTCCAGGGTTTGTCCAACACGAAAGACTAATATCGAAATAGTGATGGTTAATTTAGATCCACTTTTCTTTCATTTAAAGAAGATGATTTCTTTCTCATCATGCTTGTAAAGCATTGTATAATTTTGCGCGGTCATTATAGTTGACATTTTTACTTTTAATATTCCTCTTCAAACGAAAAATTCTGTGTCAAAACCTTGTTTCAAGCGATTTAGGTGTATTTCCCCTTGGAGCCAGAGAATTCCGCAGTTCATTTTCTGTAACGGCCCACATTCAACTCGCTATTCAATTTTATATAATTGTAACGTATTTTCTTCCAGTTCGTTTGTCGCTTCTCTGAAATGTATTACCTTTCTGAAGAGTCATCTCCTCTAATTGGTCCGTAATTGGCTTCAATACGCTGTAATTTGCTCCTTTGCCGGAGATTACAGCCTTTACAGGATCGTTTGTCGTGCTTACGGGCGCGTACGGGACCCACGTACATCCTTCAAGTCAAACAAACAAATAAAATCTTATGTTTTCTGTTTTATTTGAAAAAATTGTAAATATTATTAATTCCTGAACTGTTAAGCAACTCGCATAATTTTATATTTCGTTAAATGAGAAGGACTGACTGAAAATCAGCGCTGTGCAGCGTACGTGCAATCGTTACGCTCACAGCATCTGCTGAGTCAGCACCTTTTGCCCAGAATACGCAGTGTGATGTACTACTGTTGATATTTTTATACGTAGCTTAAGAGGTTCAATTTTTATATAGTTTTTGTTCAACAAACAGTGTACGAACTCAAATGTATATCTATCTTTTGTTCTGGCAATAAATAAATATTATTATTATCTGTTTTTCACAGCATAAGCTGGTGTTTAGTACCGAGGACGGGACATGCCAAGTCTCTCCTTACTTTAGT